TGGAGCATGTTTCTCTTTGTTCACTGCAATGGTAAGATTAAAATGGGACAAAGTAAGCTCGATAACTCTGTTTTGTACAAAGCTGCCTGTTTGACTGGGACAGACGTGTGAGAACTCCCTCCAATAATCTCATCATCACTTTTCATCTGAAACAAAGGCAGGTCTCTGTCGCTCTCACACCAAAGAGGAAAAGGGTTACAGCATAAAATAAGCCCTCAAGGTCCTCTATCTTTCTTATTTTCCTGTGAAATGCTTAAAAAAGAAAATAACTTAATTAACACAATTTTCGGCATAGAGATTAAGTTAAAGTCACATTTCTAATCAGAAAGCTTTTTAGAGGGTCCAGAAAGCCCACACTGTAACCATGGAAACCCCTATAGCCAATTAATGCAAGAAAAGAGCACTTTTATTGCAGAAACAAATTCCCAATAATACATTTTTAAAAAAAATAAAAAAATTGCCAAAGGGCAAGCCGTTAGCAAGGTTGATGTACATAGAATATATATATATATAAAAAATGCCCGTCTGGATAGACAGTGCAAAGATATCAAACAAATCAAATTTTGAGCATTTATGTGGTTTCACTCATATTTACGTAATGCCCATAAGCCATGTGTCTGTAATCGGTAATCAATAACCCATGCAACTCAAGCTTCATTCATGGCTTGTTGGGCTTATTATTCTGCTTGGCTGCAACTTTTGCAACTTTATATAACAAAATATTGATAGCAAAACATCTAGGCACTCAGGATTTATGTTTAGGTTTTGCATTTTCACATTATGCAAAACAGCCTCCATATGTTCCTGCAAACTAAACAACAACAACAAAATCTAACAATAAAAGTCTAGGTTTAAAATAGAAATCTGGCGCAATTGTATTATGTTTATTATTATTAATAATATATATAATTTTTTGATTCGCCATGATAATCAAGACAGTGTAATATGAGACATAAGGTACACCTAGAAATTACAAACAAACAAACAATAAATAACCCAGCAAAAGACGTACTTTTGAGACAAAAGACACTTTTTAGTGTCTAAAAAGAAATCAATGCTTTTATTCAGAAAGGATGCATTAGATTGACAGTCAAGTGAAAAAAAAGGGGCTTTAAATCGATGCGTTTCTTTTGAAAATTGAATAATTTTGAATTGAATACTTTACATTTTAAAACACAAAAAACAGAAATTCTGATAAACTGCTAATAATATTTGACAGTATTACTGATTTTACTGCATTTTTTAATCAAATTAAAGCATACAGTAAATGTTATTCTGCCACGTTGCACATTATATACTATCTCTAATGCTACAGTAATTTATGAAATTACATTTACATTTATTCATTTAGCTGACGCTTTTATCCAAAGCGAATTACAATTGCTATATGTGTCAGAGGTCGCACGCCTCTGGAGCAACTAGGGGTTAAGTGTCTTGCTCAGGGACATATTGGTGTCTCACAAGCCCCTTTTCCACCAAAACATTTTGAGAGCCGGTTCGGAGCCGGTGCCTGCGCGCGAACCAGTTCTTTGTGTTTTCTGACCATAATAAAGGATCACAAAGCCAAGAGAAACATTTGCAGAAACACGATGGAGTCCGCCTTTGTAATTGTTATTGAAGTTAATGCAAGCGTTTCTATTTTTGTAATTTTTTATTGAAGACATTATAAGCAAAGAAGAAAAGTCACAATATAGAACAAATAAATGGAAAGAAAAGACACAATTACAGGGGTACATAACTTATAAGAAAAAATTACATATCAAACGAAAAGATTAAAAGACGTTTACACTTTATTTCGATAGTCACTTTAGACATTCTACGAACTATAAGTCACTTTTCAACTGCATGTCAACTAAGTGTCATTAGAGTATTAGTAGGCTGTAGTAGACTGTTAGGTTAGGGTTAGGTGTTAGGGTTCAGGTTAGGAGAACAAGTTGATTTGTAGTTGCTAAGTTACTTATAGTCAGTTGAATGTCTGTTGGGGACCAACAAAATAAAAGGTTAGCAGATATTAAGCAGACAGTCTACTAATACTCTAATGATAGTTAGTTGACATGTAGCGGCAAAGTTACTTATAGTTAGTTGAATGTCTAAAGTGGACTATCAAAATAAAGTGTTACCAAAATGACTTACATATTTCAATTGTTTTTAAAACTTTCTTGGTATACGAGTTAGAGATAATCCGAAAGTAATGTATTTGCAAGCGTTTCTAGCTAAGACGTATGGCGACGTACACAGTGACGTAACGACGTTGTTCCCTGGGCGCTCTAATCAGTGGAAAAACAAATAGGTTCTGATGCGGTTCGCAAGTTGAACCAACTCCGAACCAACTTTGAACCAGCACCAGTTCCGAACCAGTTATTTTTTGGGAGTAAAAGGGGTAACAGTGGATTTCAACCCTAAGATTTGAACTTTAGTGTCAACACTAAATTACAGTAGTTATAAAATCACATTCAACCAACAAGCTACATTGAGTTAGAGCAGGGGTTCTCAAACATTTTGGAGCCAGGGATCCCTTACAGGGGAAACAAAATTCCAAGGACCAAGCTGTTTGTTTCAGTCGTTTGTTTAAAACTTCGGCCTACATCTTATCTCGCACTTTATGCGGCAGTGGCTAAGTGGTTCATGTAACAAAAGTTACTACAACTTTTTTTTTTTTTTTTTTTAAATCATTTAACGCAGATATTTTTGTTTAAATATTGGGTTGATGTAATGATCAACATTATTATGTCAACAGAACTCAACACAATAACTTAAAAGGTTTAATTAAAACAATAAATTACAATTTTAAGTTGCAACCACACATTTTTTGTGGTAATGGGTCCCCTGAATGACTTTTTAGAGCTACATCCCTAGTACAAATATAGCAATAATTAGCTACCATGCTATGTAACTAATTAACTTTTTATGTAAGGGACATTAGCATTAACTAATAATGACATTCAAACAAACTCAATCACATACATCATCATCAAAGTCTCTTTTCCAGGAATATCATCATCAGAGACAGGGACAATGAGAGGAACATTAACAGCCTGAGCAGTGGGGCAAGAGAAAGATGACAGGGGGAGGGAGCTGGCACAGCAGATGAACACATTCTTGGCACCTGCCACCCATCAGGGGCTGAACAGTGACACTGAGGCCATCTTTCTCTATAGAATGTGCCACCCAAGACCTTCAGTGAATGTGAACATCACATGCTACTGGACCCCTGGACTAGAGTCAAAAAGTTCCATAAACATGTACGTCCCCAACATAGATTCTCACTAGCACACAGTCCTGATTAGACATCGTGTGAGGCGATTACACATGAACAACTCACACACATTCACCGCCAACAGAGTCACTGATGAAGCACTAATGTAAATGAGCTTGGCGTGGTGATTTTGGTCATTAATGTTGAACCAAATGAACAATTGTACAGTGAACACACAAAGTATTTCTTAAATCATTTTTATCCAGTCATTTTTTTGAGTTGAGAAATACACATTTCAGCATTATTACTAATCTGCGTGTGCATTTTGCTTTAAAACCAAGCAAGTTGACTCATGAAACCAGTGGTTTATTATATCGCAATATTGACCTCAATAATCGCAATATGACATTTTCCCCAAATCGTGCAGCCCTAGTTGTAACCCTGGAACCGATTAATCTAATCCATTCAAGTCAATGAATTTCATTGCTTTTAAGCTGGTGGTCTTTAGGTGAATTTAGTGGATCAGATAAATCCCCACAGTTGTCCTAACAGTTGTTATCCATCACAATATCTAAAGACATGTTACAAAAAAGCCTTATTTTAAACAATGTATATATTTTATTATCAAAAACCTAACAAAGAAAAAGAGGGTTCTTATATGGGTGATTAGAAGTGCCACTTATTATTCAATCGATTAATTTGAAAATAAAAATGTAAATGGTCAAATTTCTTCTCAATGTGACAAATTAAAAAACATTTAAAATGGTTTATGTTTAAAAGTGCAATTAAAAATTACAATAAAACAATCAATCATATTTCAAATTGACAAATAAATGGACATTTATAACTGAATTTAATTGCTGTTAAAAATACTAGTTTAATGTAAAAATAAAAATAATCATTTAAATTTTATTTTTTTAATTTATCAATCAAGTAAAAAAAGCCATTGATCAGTCCAACGCTTCCACAGGAAACAATGAACTCTCAACTGAATTTTAGGACTGTCTTTTGACAGACAATAATCTTTTACTATATTTCTTTAAAACAAACTTGGTTTAATATTTCTTTAAAAATAAAATGCAAAAGCATTCATACATTTTGAATTTTGGATTAAGTTTTGGGAGCTTTTATGAGCTAATTTTTAACAAGTAGTCGATATAATTTTATGTTTTGTGTCCAAGTTCTTTCATGACATACAGTAAGAAGTTCATATGACTCATATGTGTTACATTCCAGGTTTAACTTGACAACCAAATCAGTGTGTTTTGTGAACAAATCATTCAGACCTTATGTATAACAATTTTGTTGTATAGTTGTCTCAGTTATATTGAGAGATAATAAACTGCCATGAAATCGAAAGTCAATTTTTAAAAGTGCTAAGATAGACTCGGCATATAAATGGCTACCAGTGGCGGCCTTTCATGGTTAGATGGTCACCTGTCCTCCAAAATAAAATGACATTGGCAAGACGACAGCTTCAAAGAGCCAGACAAGACGTTTTAGTATGATGCAAGATGGACCAAGAGCCCTTGTGTCCAGCAGTCCTGGTACAGTAACATCCTTGGATATTTCAAGCAAATTTTGCACCTTGAGTTTTTGGGTAAAAGCCACATTTTAGTCTGTGTAATTCAATTTGCTGCATCGTTTCTCTGCATTTTGACTCCAAGTCGATCATGGTGTCCCAGTTCTGATCCTCCAGTGGAAAAACACATTTTGCAAACCCGTACATGCGTTCTGACCATGGTCATATGCAAATATGTACAAATGCTAATAATTAAAAAAAAGTCAAGGCTATAACTCTTACCAGATCCCTCGTGTGTTCCCTCAAGTTGTTTATAGGGGTTGAACTTGGGCTTAGGAGCCACAACAGGAGCAAACTTCTTCGGAGACTGTTGCTCGGATACAGAAATGCTGGTGGTACCCATGGGTAAGCTGGTCTCCATCCGTGCACTCACATGACCTTGCTGGTCACCATCATTATAGCCACCCCACATGTTTCTGGAGTCAAGAAATCTAAAAAAACAACAAAAAAAACAACAACAAGACCACGTTATTATATTCCGCTGAGATTAACAGGTCCCATAGCTTCCACGATGTTTGATGAAATGAAATGTAGCAGTGTCTGAATTCCAGTGTTACATTCCTTCCTAAAAATACAGTTGCTTTTATGCATAATATAGATATGGGTGGATAAACCAATGTGGTTCTTTTCATCAGGGACTGAATTCCCATCCCTTTGTGTGTTCTTCCCCCTCTCTCAGTTCTTAGCTGTGGACTTAGCAAAGGAAACTGAGCATTTCAAAACACCAGGCATGGGAGAACTAAGTCCCATCAAAGTGCCATCAAATCTTATTATTACATCAGGAAATCTGAGTGTGCCCCAAAATTCTCTGAGTTCGCTCCAAATAGATCATGTCATGACAAAAGTTCAAATGACTACAATATTCCAAGTTAAACTTGAAAACCCGAGCAGTGTGTTTTCATTCGGACCAGTTTTGTGAACTGTATCCTACGATTTATAAAAAAGATTGAGCTCAAAGAAATAATTTGTTCAGAAAGAACTCTCATGAACATGCCAAGGAGAGTTACTAAGTTTCTGTTTAACTAAAATGTTGGTCTGATTCTCACACAAAGCTTATTTGTTGTACAAGATTACAAGATACAACATTAAGATACAACATGTAACTAACACTGGCTTCATACATTGATTTTTAACAAGAGTAGCAAAAACACAATGTGCATCATTTGTTCATCATTTTGTAGAAGTAGTTAAAGGAGTAGTTCACTTTAAAAAAAAAAAAAAAAAACTTTTGCTGATAATTTACTCACCCCCATGTCATCCAAGATGTTTATGTCTTTCTTTCTTCAGTCGAAAAGAAATGAATGTTTTTCATAAAAACATTCCAGGATTTTCTCCACATTCTCAGAAAAAAAGGTACAAAAGCTGTCACTGGGGCTGTACCTTTTCAAAAGGTAAACTTTTGTCCATTTCATGAGCTGATAAGTACATTTTAGGTGTTAATATGTACATTTTTAGTGTTAATGTCCATTTTAGGTGCTAATATGTCTATTTTAGGTGCTAATATGTCTATTTTAGGTGCTAATATGTCCATTTCAGGAGCTTATATGTACATTTTAGGTCATAGCATGTACATTTTAGGTGGTAATATGTACATTTTAGGTACTAATATGTACATTTTAGGTGGAAATATGTAGATTTTAGGTACTAATATGTACATTTTAGGTGGTAATATGTACCACAAAGGTACCAATATGTATAATATAATATAAGGTACCAAAAAGTGTACTTTTTGAAAAGGTACAGCCCCAGTGACAGCTTTTGTACCTTTTTTTTTCTGAGAGTGCATATAATGGACTTCAATGGGAACCAAATGGTTCAAGGTCCAAATGAGAGTTTCAATGCAGCTTCAAAGGGCTTTAAATGACACCAGGCGATGAATAAGGGTCTTATCTAGCGAAACGATCGCTCATTTAAAAAATAAATAAAAAGTTTAAGTTTTAGAAGCACAAATGGTTGCCTTGCTCTGTTCTGTGATGAGCGTTCATGACTCTCCTGTTCAAACTCGTTCATCAAAATGAACTTTTTTTTTTTTGAATAATTATTTATCGACTGGTGTCGTTTAAAACTCTCATTTGGACCTTGAACCATTTGGTTCCTAATGAAGTCCATTATATGGAGAAAATACTGGAATGTTTTCATCAAAAACTTAATTTCTTTTCGACTGAAGAAAGAAAGACGTGGACATCTTGGATGACATGGGGGTGAGTAACTTCAGCAAAAGTTTTTTTTTTGTTTTTTTTGTTGTTGTTTTTTTTTTTTGTTTAAGTGAACTACTCCTTTAAAAAAAAACCTTGCAGTATTTTTTGTGATTATTAATAAAAAAATTAGGTTCTAACAGTGATTTGAACACACGTGTCCCTATGTATGACTTTTCACCTCCCAGCTTCCCAAAGGGTTATGATTAAACCATAAGGACCACATTTATTATACTTTTTGGTTTATCCACCACTTCCATTTGGCTATGCGGCAAGGGCATTCACACAAAAATGTTAGATCGACATGGATAAATAGATTACAGAATGTTCATTTTTTTGTGAACTTTCCCTTTGAGAAAGTGTTTCAGCTTTCAGATAAAAAGTTTTAGGACTTTTTAAAACCAAAGGTGGTGCTAATCATTCCTCAAGTTCTCTGGGACGTGCCAAGGTATCAAAAAAGAGAGAGTAATTTGATATAATCCCTTACAAACACAGCACTCACACTTCCATAGTTAGAAGCAAATAATTGCCATGTTGCTAACCTGTCTCAATTTAAATAAAAAACGAATGTGTCAACTGAGCGTAATGTGATGAAGACCTGGGAATGTTCTAGTTGTGTCGAAACTCAGACAGCTGCCAGAGAACATGACATAACAGCAGTTCAGCTTTCACTGATGTGGTGAAAGCTGTAGTAACAGCAACGTTAACAACATTATTGATGACTTCTAATGCATTTATTGTCAACTTCAGGGTCCCATGCCCCTGAAGTTGACAATAACTGCTAACTGCAGCATCACAGCTCTAGCCAACTTAATAAAATAGCTTATTTACTTTAATCCTTTGTTTGTCTTCAACTTGTATCTGAGACAGACATATTTACATAGCTGTTGTCTACCTGTTTATGCATTTAGCTGCAGGGGCGCTGCTGTCTATTTTGACTCTTCAAATTGCACCAACATAACAGCATACTTCTACTTCTCTACTTATTTGCATTATTTCCAAACGTAGAAGATTACTTGAAAGGAGAATGATTAAACAAAATATTAATAATTGCAAAAGTGACTGTATAGGTTTAATATGGCCTTTTACAAAAAGAGGACGATGATAAATCGCTCAATAAATAAAATGTTTGTCATATTTATTGAAAATGATGTGCAATTTGACAGGCTTTTTTTTTTTTAAGTTGACATTTTTAAGTCATTCAGCTTTTCTTGAACATGAAAGAAAATAAAAAAACGAAACAAAATAAAAATAAAATATATTTCTAAGAACTTGCCACATTGTTTAAAATCGGTTTTCGGTTAATACACGTAAGGAGGCGTACAAGTGCGATTTGTTGTGGTGTTGGAACAAGGGCAGCCGCACAAGAAATAGAGACATGCTGTATTGGAGCACAAACAAAGGCTCCTTTCCATTGCTTGCGTAGATTGCAGAAAGGTATTTATCTGCCCTAAGCACCAGCACAGACAGTTAGAGAGTATTCAGTGCAGCATCTCATGTTCTTAATGAGAAGAGGAACCATCTTTCCTGTCAAAAAGCTGAGCAACTTTTGTTCTTAAAGAGAAACCTGCCTGATGATTAAATATAAAACGTCTGGTTAAATAAACAGCAGTCCAATTTTCTGTGCATATTACATTAAAATGTGCGTAGCACTGCACAACTGTTTCCTTAGGCTACATAGGGTTAAATGTTGTTTACAGTTTGAGTTTGGAATAAGTTGTATTGCTGTTTTTGCACAACAATTTAAAATGTAAGTAAAAAAAACAAAACAAAAAAAAAATGTTTACATGCAGCAGCAGAATAGAGGCCCACTGCCATTCTGTGTGCAGTTATTCAGATAATTGTGGATCTTTTTTTTTTTTTGACTGTTAAAAAACAATTTTATTTGATGGAACATAAAATGGTACTTAATGGTATTTATTAGCACCTAAATGTCCATATTAGCACCTAAAATGTACATATTAGCACCTAAATGTCCACATTAGCACCTAAATGTACATGTTGACACCTAAAATGTACATATTAGCACCTAAAATGTACTTATTAGAACCTAAATATACATATTAGCACCTAAAGTGTACACATTAGCACCTAAAATGTACTAAATATCCATACTAGCACATAAAATGTACACATTAGCAAATAAATGTACATATTGGCACCTAAATGTACATATTAGCACCTAAATGTACATATTGGCACCTAAAATGTGCATATTAGCACATAGAATGTACATATTGGCACCTAAATGTACATATTAGCACCTAAATGTACATATTGGCACCTAAAATGCTCATATTAGCACATAGAATGTACATATTAGCAAATAAATATCCATATTAGCACCTAAATGTACATATTGGCACATAAATGTACAAATTAGCACCAAAAATTTGCATATTAGAACCTAAATGTACATATTAGCACCTACATGTCCATATTAGCACCTAAAATGTACATATTAGCAAATAAATGTCCATATTAGCACCTAAATATACATGTAGTCACCTAAAATGTACATATTAGCACCAAAAATGTACTTATTAGAACCTAAATATTAGCACCTAAAGTGTACTAAATGTCCATACTAGCACCTAAAATGTACATATTAGCAAATAAATGTACATACTGGCACCTAAATGTACATATTAGCACCTAAATGTACATATTGGCACGTAAAATGTACATATTAGCACCTAAAATGTATATATTAGCAAATAAATGTCCATATTAGCACCTAAATGTACATATTGGCACCTAAATGTACAAATTAACACCAAAAATGTACATATTAGAACCTAAATGTACATATTAGCACCTAAAGTGCACATATTAGCACCTAAAATGTACTAAATGTCCATACTAGCACCTAAAATGTACATATTAGCAAATAAATGTACACATTGGCATGCACCTAAATGTACATATTAGCACCTAAATGTACATATTGGCACCTAAAATGTACATATTAGCAAATAAATGTTCATATTAGCACCTAAATGTACAAATTAGCACCAAAAATGTACATATTAGAACCTAAATGTACATATTAGCACCTAAATGTACATATTAGCACATGTCTTAAAATGTAGCACCTGTCCTAAAATGTACATATTAGCACCTTAAAATGGACAAAAGTGTACTTTTTGAAAAGGTACAGCCCCAGTGACAGATTTTGTACTTTTTTTTCTGAGAGTGTATGTTACTGTTAATACAAGTTTGATTTTTCTATTGCA